ATTAGATACCGCCAGTAATTTGCTAGTAATTCGCTAGTAATTCGTTGGGTAAAATCGACAGAACCGAAGAGAGAGAGGGTTGGTAGTGTGTCAGAGGATGGTTTATTAGATTTTGATAGGTATATTTTATTCTGCAGTTTATAGCAAGGATTAAGGTTCGGTTTTCTTGTTGCAACCAGACTATAGAGGGTAGTTTTTATTTTTATTTTTTTGTGTGTGTCTTTGTCTTTGCTTGAGTTCCGACAGGGTGGATAATAAAAGTAGATATTGATGTTTAAAAAAACACTGGGAATGTAGATATTCATACATCTTATATAAGGCAAATAATGATTAGAAACAGAGTGAATGAATCTCAGACACTGCGACATCGTAAACCTGCCGCTGAAAGTCATACACCAATATTGCTGAGATTGCTTTCTGTAGACTTGACTCCCCCCATCAAGTTTATATTGGTGGCGAGTCCCTCCCTATCCGACCATATTAACCTCCCCCTGCCAATGCAAGAATTGTTGGCATCTGGGCAACCATGCCAACTCTGCTGCACCAAAGCTTGATGCCCTCTGTGTGCCCAACCTGGTCACGAATGATCAAACTGCTCTGCACAATCATGCATGTCTGCCAATTGTAGTGGCTCCTGTAATCTATTTTAAAGGGGCTGCTATGCTTACAAGTTTGAGTCTGAGATGGCAGTTCTCAGATTCAAATTTGTCCTCACTTTACATGAGGCCAGACAGGAAGCACTCCCAACTCCAGTGCTGTCCTTTGCTCTACTCCTCCCCCTTCCCTCCCAGGATGTTTCTACATCACCCCTAAGTATCTCTTCCTCATCCCACTTCTACGCTCTCCCTCTCCCAGTTAAATTCTTTTGCCATTCTAAATCTAGACACCCCACTCTCTACTACTGTTCTAAATCCAGGCACTCCAATCTCTACTTCCCCAGTACCTTACTTGATTCATTGCAGAAGTCAAGCTTAAGTTCCACCCCATCTTCTACTACATTCTCTCCTCTATTAGCCTCTTCCTCGGCTCCTCAAATGTCTGCTCCCTCGTTTTCCCGTCATATGAAAACTTTTGTTTCTCAGACCTCCCCACCCAACTCCACTTCTGAGGCTCCTGATGACATTTAAAACTCCCTTTCCTTCTACACTAAATGTGACCACTGACATTCATCTTCCTCCTACTCATGTTCCATCTGACACCTCTTCCTCCCACTCACTCTCAACACATCCCATTCCCTTCTACTTCATCATCTCCCTTCCTTCTCTGTTATCCCTTCTGCTTCCTCCAGATACACATGTCACAACAACCTCATTCCCTGGATGCTCTTCCTCCTCACATTTCTCTTGAAACTGTTCTTTGATCTAATTACTCTTAAACCCTCCCTTTTCTCCTTTTTCTAACCCTTGCCATACCCTGTGGACATCTTTGCAGAGTCCAACATTTATTTCTTTGACAACTTTGATCTAATCACCCTTTAATACCTACCTTAGTCCATTTACTCACCCTCTCTACCCTCACCTCTCTTTGTGCCTTTCAATGCCATGCTGTCCTGACCTGCTACTGTATGACTTTTGTAACACATTTAGTCATCACTACTACACCTTCTTATAGTGCTATATGACCTTTGATATTTAGCACATTTATTTGTCTTTGTAACCATTAACCATCTAGTTTTTATGCCACATCTCTTCAAAAGGTGGAATAGTTATGCATGATTTTTTTTTTACTTAATTACCTGCTTTAAAGGAGACTGTTCGCATTGGAATCTTCTCTTTATTTCTTTTATTGTGTTTTTTTTTAATTTATACCATATTGTACTTAATGCATACCAAAATAAAATTATCAATTCTGTAACATGGGTATAATTTGACATTTTCTCTAAATCTTGATATAGCTATATAGTGTAGAAGTACAGTAATAGTAATATAATATGCTATAGTTTTTCAGTTATTTATATGAGAGTGTCTGTTTATGTATTTGTGCATATATGAGGAAATATAGTGAACATGAGCACTGATTCATTCCATAATGATATAACTATGTATCTCTTTGCAGGAACATCATCACAATGGATTGGTTCTATATTGCCGCTGGGTGTGTTGGTATCGCACAGGTGGTGCTTGACTGCTGGACTTGGGTGCAGGCATTTAAAATACTTGGATTTTTGGCCTTTTTAAGGTAAAAGAATAGTTGTAGTATTGTATATATTTATCAAAAGAGCTCAATGTATATATTTATCAAAAGTGCTATTAATATTAATACCGTTATTATTATTAACATTATGATTGATATAATGTTATTTAAATACTAATAGCAATAAAAGAAAGACAAGAATTTTTCAGAAAATCAAGGAAAAAGATAAACAGATGAGATAGGTAGGACTAGTAACTGACAACCTTAGTCACTTAGCACTTGTGGAGACATCTTTGTGTAAAATAGAACTGATAAACTAAACTATCAGTAGACATAGCATTCGTGTCATGTTGTTCCATGTGGATGATGACATTGGGAAACAAGTCTGAAAGTTTCCTCTAAATGAATTGAGTTGTTAATGATAGATCTAGTTCTTGTTCACAATTTTTTTTTTTTTTGTGGCAGAGGGTGTAAGATTTTCAATATTGAGGTTTCAGATTAGAAAAATGTATTTCAAGGGGAAAAAATTCCTTGATATGAATCTTTTCAATTTTGTTTCTTATTGGACAGTAGTCTGAAACTCATTTCAAAGTAATTTAAATGAAATCCATTATAATTCCAGATATGTTATATTACCAGCAGACTGTGATCTAACCCTCTTCCTGTTCAAACACTTTGGAAAGCCAGTTGGTAAGTTAGAAAATATTTATGTATAAGTAATACCGTATGGTTAATATTGTCATGAATAACTCTTAATATTTTTAGCATTCCTTGAATGTCAAACACTTCACGGAGCTAGTTGGAAGATATTTGAAATTTATTGATATATGACTGACTCAGTCTGTTTCATATATCATTTACTGAAGTAAAAACTTTTCCTAATGAGAGGAGAGGTTAACATTCTAGAATTAAAGTCTTATTTGATTATAGAAAATCAACATTTTGAGAAGTGAGATATAATGGGTAAATAGTTAAAGAATAAAAGAAAACCTATTTTAGAAAGAATAACTACATTATGTTAGCGATATTAACAAGTGCAGTGCCATCTTTTTCATAGTCATGCAGTTAATACAATTAATGAACTGTCATTTGATTTATCTTACTATAATTATGTTTGATCATATGACATGAACTAAATAACTTTTATATTTTTATGATTTTTTTTTGTAGAGAGTCTTGAGGGCAGAGTAGTGTGGATCACAGGAGCCTCAAGTGGCATTGGCAAAGCGCTTGCTATTCGACTGGCAAAAGCAAAAGTCAGAGTTGTTCTTTCTGCACGGTCTGTAGAGAACTTGAATGAGGTGAAACAGAAATGTATCGGTAAGTGCATGTCTTGTTGTTTATCATTATTTTTAGCTTTAGAGAGAGAATTGATGTTATCATGATCATCAGTTATCTCTGTCATCATTGTCATTATTATTATCATATCCATGCTTGTATTTCTTGTTCATATTCCTAATTTCTGATTATTCTTATTCTTATGCTTATTTACATTTTTGTATTTAATATTAATGTTATCATAATCATCAATCATCTCTGTCATTATTGCCCTTTCCATGGTTGTATTTCTTGTTCTATTCTTAGTGTCTGTTTATTCTTATTCTTATGCCTATTCACATTATTTCAGGTTTAATTATTATTATTATTAACTCAAACCCATAAGCTTTATCAAGGCAGATATGAGATGAAAAAAGTACACTGGATGCCTGCATGGAGGTTTAATATACATATACATCTATGGTGATATAAGGCAATAATGCTAACTTTCTGCCTAATTCCTTAGGAGCAGCCATCAACATCATATAAAGTTTGCTTGGTATAAGGGCTTTAAACTGTGATTTGACTGAGATAATGATGGTGTGACACAAATGTTTGTGCTGAAATAGTTATTCTTGGTATGACATGATGTACATGCCACCCAGAGGCAGCAAATTAATCTTAAATATCTATAGCTTTTTAAAACAAATCTGTTTTACCTTATCATAGGTAAATATCAGTTTAGGAAATGAGAAGGAGAACTTTGTAAACTCAGAGTTATGTGATGAATGTTGATACTTTTTGGAAAAGATGATTTTATAGCTTATGAAATAAAACTAATATGTTCTTAACATAAATGACATACATGAAGAGATTGTATGTAATTTTATCATATTTATTTGTCCATTTAGTTTTTGTGAAGTATCTGGAGGAATATAAATACCTATATAATATAGTTAAGAAAAAGAATTTAGGAGACTGGAGATGTGATACTACTTTTATATATTATTGCTTATGTACTAATATCTCAGAGCCTTCAATAAATTCTTGGAAATGTCTAATTCATTTTAAACGACTCTTTCAGAAGCTGGAGGCTTAGATGAGAAAGATGTTTTTGTTTTGCCGCTTGACATGGTTCAGTACGACCAACGTCAGTCTGCATTTGATAAAGTGATTGAACACTTTGGAGAGGTAAGATAAGGTGTATTTTTGCATTCATACTTATACATATGTATTTTTGTATATATATATTTTTTTGGTGTGGAAAAGGAATATATTTTTATTATTTTTATCAAGATATTTTCTATAGGAAGATGATTGAAATTTTAAAATCAGTAGCTGTAGTGTATATTAATTCATTATGATCATCTTTATTTTCAGTCATGTAAGGATTTGATTTTATCTACTCAAAAACTTGTTAGATTCATTATAAAAATGTTGAGAAATATGAGTGAGAGTGAATAATGTAACTGAAGTTTTGATATTAGATCTTTGAACTACTAATGATAATTATAATTCTAAAGTATTGACCCTCAAGGTCCTAATCACAGCAAATGTACATTGATGCATTTTTTGGAAAATGACCATCACCACATCCATTTCAGAAATTGGCAGGCTGAAATTTCCTTGCATTTTTACTGTGAAATGCATGTATGTCCAATAATATATCTGGTGCAGTCTAGTAAGTTTCCTGTAGCCTTTCCCACCACACCATCCATACTCTCCACTCCCTAACTAGTCATACAGTTGTGTTTCCTGCAACTAATTCTGGTATTGCACAATATATTTCATCAAGCCAGTTCCCCTATTTTTTCCAGTTCTCTCATTCTTCTGTAAGATCATCTATCATGCATCATACAGTCACCTCCTAATGGCTTATTGTCTTTTTTATTATTCTTGTTATTGTTATCCTCATTAATCATCCCCATCTTCACCTTAATTGATCATCTTTATTGATCCTAATCATCATCATTGTCATTTTTATTATCATCATTACTATCTTCATCATCATTATTGCTGTTACTGTCATTGCCATTACCATCATCATTGTCACCATCACTATCATCATCTTTATCATCACTACCATCAGTTATTTATATTGTAATTATTAGCACTGTTTTCATTTAGCAAGCCTTTCCCCTATTACTACAATCTTTCAATTTTTCCAGTTGGACATTCTTGTGTGCAATGCTGGCCGATCTCAGCGTGGCCGATGGGAGATGATTGACCTGGATGTGGACCGTGACCTCTTCGAACTGAATGTCTTCTCCCTGATATCCCTGTCTCGAAGGGTGGTCAGGTATTTCCTGGAGAAGGGGAAGGGGCATGTGGTGGTGACCTCAAGCACAGCAGGAAAGTTGGGAGCTCCCATGTCTGGCTCCTATACGGCTTCAAAACATGCATTGCAGGTGGGTGTCCTTTTCTACTTCAGTCTGATTAGGATGTATGGTTTTAGTGTTTTAAGCTTGTATCATTTTTTTGTATCTCTCTTATTTTCCTGTCATTTACATTGGCTTTTATTCTAAAAGAAAGAATAATTGTGTTCTTCCAGCCTAAAATCAATTATTAGCTTCCTATTGAATTTAAGCCCTTTTTTTCAGTTACTATTTTTATTTTATTTTATCTTTTGAAGAAAGATACATCTTTCATCAAAAGTTTATACAGCATAGAAATGAGGAAGGATGGCAAAAGTAATTTTTCAGTTATATTTCCCACTTGTTTAGTACAAACTTCATGAGTCTTGAATTTGTCTTTCTTGTAGTCACATGTAGATACAGCATTGCTCTATCCTGGTAGAGCAAAGATGTCAAAAGTCACTTTCCCAGATAACATTTCTGTATCATCATTACTAGTTAAACTTTTATCTCCTTTAAGGGTTAAGTAAAAACATTTATTTATTTATTTATTTTTTTAATCTCACACAGGGATATTTTGACTGTCTACGTGTAGAGAAGGCAGGGTGTGGTTTGGACATCACTATGTTCTGTCCAGGCCCTGTGGATTCTAATCTCCTTAAAGTATGTTTCACAGAAGAGAAAGGGAAGGTTAGTGTCTGAGTGGGTGTTTCTATGTATGCTTAAAATTACTCTGATTTTACAGGGAGATGTAGTTTGTAATTTTATTAGTTTTATTATTTATCAGCATGTGTGAGTCTTTTCATTATTACTTTTACATAAGGTGTGAAGGCATTTTCTTTTGATTAGTCCTAATGGCAGAACCGTCTTGTATGTGTACTTTTGATTGATTCAGTTTTCCTTAACTGGCTATTATAAAGTGTAAAAACGATGCAGTTTAATGAAACTGATTCATCCTTTGGTTTGCCCAAGCATATCAGGTTGTGGCAGTATGGTAACATTGTATATGCACTTTAGCCTTTTTAAATGGAATAAATGGGGAAGGTGTAGGTTTGGTCATAACTCTTGTCAAAGATGTTTCAAATTTCACCTTAAATACTCAAATAATGGGATCTTTGTTGTTTGAAGCTTCATCTTGCTGCCCAGCCTTGTCCATGCAGCTGTTTTGTTATTTGCGTCATTAATTTTTTTTTTTCCCCTAATATTCAATTTTCTGTAATATAACCTTTGCCATCGGTCACGGCACAAGTAATATGATTCTAAGCATGGAAATGGCGTCCTCCATGCTCTTCCAGGCATGACTCACGGACATTACACTCCACACTCGTTTATTGATGGGAATAATGCAGAATTGCCAAATAAGTCAAATTAGTCTGTGTCACCTGGGCTGAAGCGAGATTTTCTTATGACTTACATGTTTACATTACCCGCCCCTTGATCCAAATTTCATGATGGTCACTTCATCTGGATTGTAGGGGTTAATTTCGTTTGTTCTCAGTGGTTGAAGTATTTATACTTACAGTATGAAGAAACATTGGCAAAGGGAGCAAATGGCTGTGAAATTTCCATAAAAGCCATATAAGATGCAAGTAATGCAAGGTACCTTTGTGGCCACACCTCACATTTCCTGAGAGAGAATGGCACATGTAATGCTGCAATTGGCCATTGTTTGGTATAAAAGGGGTGATATTTAGCACATAAAATCATTTGCCTGCGATCTCTGGAAGATGTCAGACACATGAAGATTGTATTCTCTTGCTACTACTGTGAGCCTGTAAGTAACCTTCATTTCAGTATCTCATGCATGTATAATCTATTTATTGATATATATTGTATTTATGTTTATTTTTACTATCTGCATAATCTTAGCAAATACTTTAATGTATCTTTTAATTCAGATTTTCCTCAGGTGAGGATGTTGATGATATGCAGCCTTCCACCAATGCAGTCCCCCAGGAATACAGACTTTTTGGATGATGAAAGTTCTGTGTAGGAGGATTCTTTGATAGACGCTTATAACAGTTCTGAGTCAGACCTGGAATATCTGTCTTATCATGGCATGTCCATCGACTTGGATGAGCTAATGTTGCCTACAAGTATGAGAATGCTCCTGGAACCCTGAAGTTTATGTAATGAAGGCAGGAGAAGGGGTTCACTTGGTTTATTTTTTTCTGACATAATTTTGGCATGTTTGTAATTTTTTGGCTGTCTATAATACAACCTGAATATTATTCATGTTTTTTTTTCTACTTTCAGTTACTACAGCCAGAGACCAGCAACCCACACCCCTTCATGCCATACAAAGGAGTGGGTTGATGTTTCAGTCTCTTAGCAGAAGGCTTACTGTGGCCTGAACCTGTTGATGGGTATCCAGAGTAAGCAGGAGATGAAAAACTTCTGGTTGAAGGATCCCAAGCACTTCCAACCAGTGTTCTCCTAGACCATGGCGAGGTATATAAGGTAGATCTATAATGGGGTACATCAGTGCCCTCAAGATTTACATGGGCCAGGGCAGGAACAAATTCCCCATCTTGATGAAGACCATCATTGACCTGATGAGTACCATAAAGGGTATGAGGTCTGTACCGATAGCTGGTATTCTTCCCTCTCCTTTTTCAATATCTGCAGAGTAGATAGATGCAAAGTGCATCTGAACTGTAAACACATGCTGTCAGATCTGCAGGTAAAGGTTCATGGAGATGTGGACACCAGGAGCCCATGGACTGGCATAATGTGTCTGCATTGATGTGATTAGAAGCGTGTGATAATACTGTCCACCATTGATACCAGAGAAGTGGTCGCAGTCACCAGCCAGAGTTTCATCCTTTGGTGGAAGCCAAGGAAGGTAGTTCTTGACTACAACTCTTATACTTGTATAAAGGGGGTAAATGTGAGAGACCACCTGGCTCAGTCAAACCTCCCACTCAAAGGTCCATCAGGAGGTACAAAATGGTTCTAGACATGGCAGTCATCAGTACTTTTGTTGTGTACAAGGCACTAGGAGGGCATTTGACTTAGATGGACTTCTGAGGAGAGCTTTCAGAGCATCTCTAGTGGGGATCTAGCCAAGGAAAGGAGATTCAAGATTCAAGAAAAGCAGGTTGTCTGCTCTATGACTTGTTACTCTGCCAGTTTGATTGTTCTGAAAGATACCATACCAAGGACATGTACTGTATTGTAAATGTGTTGTTTTTCATAAAAATAAAAGTTATGAAACTGAAAGAAAATCCTATTTTTCTTCCCAAATTTTACCACATTCCACAAAAGGGAATTACTGAAGGTAATAACAGCTTTGTGCACAACTGCAGCCTCTTTTTTTTGTAAGAACAAGATTTGCAAAAATGAATGAGCTGTTTTTATGCTTTGGTAACACCACATTTCATCTTCTATAGAGTTTAACACACTTAATTTTATTATAATCAGTCTACTACAGGATTGATCTAGCAACTAAATCATACACCTCCGAATATGAAAAAACATTAAAATCATGTTTGGGATGTACACAAAGAAATAACGCTTTGTTGGTGTGGCTTCACAAGAGCTAGGTAACCAAGGAGTAATTTATTAGTCTCACTTGTTTTCTCTTTTCTTCGATATTGGATTTTCTCTTTATTGCCATTAGCATTTTAATGACATTATGATAATCATAATGATAATTTTTCAGTAGCTATTGATAAGAACATTAGAAAACAAAGGAATGGAAAACAGGTGCAGTCATGTGGGGTCTACTAATTGACTCCTTGGTGGCTGAGTGCCTTTGAAAGCATATATGTGTAAGAAAAATTCATGAAAACTATAGTGGATATTATGTTATGTTTATCCATTGGCAATGAGTATAGAGAAGAGGAGGATTAGTATTTTAAAAAATTTATTGATTTTATCTTGATGTATATATATTTTTATACTTGTAAAAATGTATGAAGTATTTAGAATCAAGGCTTTTTTATTCTTTTATATGTAAATTTATATATTTTTTTTGTAATCTAAATATATATAGTTATTTCCTTTGACAGAAGAAGCCTTTTTTGCATGTTTTATATAGATTTTAACATTTTGAAAAAAAAAGTTTTTAGCTAGAAATATTTACTTTGAAGAAGTTAAAGAAACAAAGGTTTGGCATTTTCCTTGCATCTAAAAGTAAAAAAAGGGCCATGTTCTGGAATCCATATGTACAAGACAGTCATTATCTAGCTATATAGATTATCTTCTGCAAAAAATCTTGTAAATTTGGAGAAAAAAAAAACAAAAATTATATAGCCTAAGGTTATCCATAAATATCCCCTGAAACAGCAGACCGTCGCCTTAATAGTCAGAAATAAATTTAAACTAATTAAATTAAATCCATTTTTCATATTGACAGGAACTTGGGCAGGAAAGGAAGGGCAAGAGAATGTCGGCAGAACGTTGTGCCGATCTCTTTGCCATTTCCATTGCAAACAAGCTGTCGGAGGTTTGGGTTGCAGATCAACCGGTTTTAACCATGTATTACCTCAACCAGTTTGTCCCTTCACTGATGAAATGGTAAGTATTTGAGTGAGAGAAGGAGTGTATTTGTAAGTGCAAAGATCATGGGCAGTAGTGACCCTGAATCCAAAATGATATGTATGTTTTGCCAAGGGTTTTGGACGGAGAATTTTAATGAGATTATTTAGGGAGGGAAATTTTGACTGATTCATTGGATATATTTAGATCTTTTATGCCAATTTTTTTTAACTGCATGTGCCAGTTGTAGGGGAATGAGTCTACATTAAATAATAAAATTAAGAGCGATAGAAAAAGTAAAAGAGTTCACAAAACTAGGATTTTTTTTCTGCAAGGGGTGCCTAATATATATTTTTTTTTGAAGACCTTCCTATTATTATATGAATCTTGGCAAACATGTTTTTTTTTATGCTCTTTTTTATCAGTTTTGCTCCACACAGCATTCTATATTTTCTAGAATTACCACTCAGATCCTGCAGCTAATTTTAGGTCTCCTAACTTATTCAGTATGACAGTTAAATGCTAATGACAAATAAATCTTTCCTTTTCTTTCCAGTGCATTACAGGTTCTTCCACTGAAGGCCATAATGAAATTACGAGATGGCAGAGATGATGCAACCCAGTTAACAGGAGCAGAAGGAAAAAAGCAGAGTTGATTTAATTGTATATAAAAAAAAACTTTGTTGTATTGAACTGAAGGCAGAAGTGAAAGATTCATGAAATCAGTGGTGCTTAGATCACACGAATATATTTTGTGATAAGATTTTAATTTTTTTGGCCTTAATAAATACTTTTAAGGTTTGCCATAATATCTAACTATCCATATATACTAACTGTTAGAGAATATTTTATATATTATGATTTTTCTCATCAAGTTTTCTGGCTTCCTTTCCTTCCATATGTAATGTGATATTTTGTTTTCCAGTATAAGTGAAAAGAACATATTTTTACAGTATATGATAACAAATATGTAGGAATTATTGTATGTAAAATTGGGAATAAAAATATTACTGAAAGTTAAACTTGTTTTTTATTATGAAACTCTTAAAACTTAATTTAACACAATGTAAAATGAATAGTAAAAAAAAAAAAAATAATTTACACATTAAAAGGCAGTCTTAAAAACTAAAATTCATTGTAAAAATAGAAAAAGATTCAATTTCAGGGATAAAACTTAAGAAATTACCCTTCTCGGTGTCTGGCAGTTTCCACAATAACTGAAAAAAAAAAAAAAAACACATTGTACAAGCATGAAGTAGTTTGAGAGTGGCAAGCAAACCAAAATGAATCGTCATGAAATTTAGTTTTAATTCAAAAAGTTTCTCTTTGGATAAAAAGAAAAGAAAAAAAAGTCTGGTAGTTTAACTATAAGTATTAAAAATACAAAAATTATCTATGCATCCATCAATCAATATTAGCATATCGTGCTATTACAGAGCAAATTCTCATCTATATGGCTTTTATTTTATTTTTTTCTTAAAATGCCCTACCTCTAATCAAAATGTTCAATGTCCATTTTCCTATAAATATCTTTGTCCCTTTTAAGAAAATGTCAAAAGAAACCACACTAATACATTAGTAAGTATAGGATACTTAGAAAATGAATTTAGTAAGATTTTCTGAATAAACTTCTTCTTAAAGATCAAAAGCCAGAAACTTGTGGTGAGCGCACTAATACGTCACAAGAAATATAGCATACTTCAAAAATATAGTAAGACTTTCCGTATAAACCTCTTATTAATCAGAAACTTGCTTATAGTGAGGACACTAATACGTCTGGGTCGTCTCTTGAAATATAGCCTACTTAGAAAATGAAGTTTGTTAGATTTCCCAATAAACCCCTTATTAATCAAAACCAGAAACTTACTTATGGTGAGCACACTAATACGTCACAAGAAATATTATATACTTCAAAAATATAGTAAGATTTTCCCGATAAACCCCTTATTAATCAAAACCAGAAACTTACTTATTGTGAGCACCACACCCACGAACATCAGCATAAGGACAGAGACAATGTACAGGCGGATGTTTAGCACAAGTACGGGATCTTTTTGCACGGGGAGGTTCCACACACTGTGTTCCTTCCTGCAGTGGAGAGAAAATGGTTTTTGTTTTTTGTTTTGTTTTTGTTTAATGTTTTTGTTTTTTGTTTTGTTTTGTTAATGTAGTGCAGTGAAAACGTGTAAACCAGATTTTTTTTTTTTTAGTATATGGGGTAATTCTTGGTCTCGCTTTGTAAACTAATATTGGTTATGAATGAATAGCTAACTAACTATGAATTAATAGCTAATAGCTAATAGTAAAACAATGATTATAATTCCTGAAAAAAGGCAGAGTTGTAGGGGGGGGAGAAGAGGAACAGAGAAAATGAAAGAAGGGAAGAAATAGGAAAACAAGAAAAATAAAGACGAGGAAAAGAATTGACAAGCAGCATCAGTAATAATAGAAAAAAATAGAAAAAAAAAACAGGGAAATGGGAGGAAAAAGTCAAGGGAAAGGAGAGAAAAAAGAAAGGGAAAATATGATAACTGAAAGGAAATTAAAAACTTGACACAGAAAAAAAAGAAGAAAGAAAGAGGAATAGTCCAGCAAAATGAGGAGAGAAAAAAAGAAACGAGAGAAAGAGAAAAGAGAAAAGAAAAAAAGTGGAAATGAAAAAGTTGAGAGAGGAATAGAATAGAATAGAATAAAATAAAATAAAACGAAATAAAATAAAAATAAAAAGAGAAAGAAAAGAAGGAATGATAAAAGAAAAGAGATTTCACCCTTACCCAACACTTTCATTCCAATCAAACCAAACCATTCCGCGACGTATATATCAACTTCAAACTCCCACAATGCACAGACAGGAGTATTCCCAAGGCAGTGGTAAAAATTGCGAAATACGAATAATATCAGTAATGTGAGACGAATTTACACCAATGCTGGAGAACTAACTCATCAGTTCGTAAGTAAAGAGAAGGCTGACATTGCATTCGTTGCTAAAACCTTCCTTGCTAACAGGGTTCTGGACCAACTATGCACGTATGTCAGGATATTCAAATTGGATGCGTAGAGACAGAAATACGCAGGGAGGAGGAATTGCAAAATAAACCTGCAGCTGCAGTTAATAGATCTTCCCTTACCAGACGGCATTGAATTAATACTCTTCAGACTGGTGGACAAGAAACGGCACGGTATTCTTCTTTGTGGAAGCTACCGGCCACCACCACAAGGGACAATATATATATATTTCTTAATGCAAAACCTTGATCAGCTTATGACCACCTATAACTGCCATCATTTTGTATTATTTAGAGATCTAAACCAGCATAGAGAACACTCTGCCTTCGACGAAATAATGGCAGTCCATGACCTACAGAACTTTGATTTTCGAACACATCGCTCTGGATCGTCTCTTGACCCAGTTGCCACTGACAAAATCATTTTGTACCCCATTTTAACTACTTATCGAAGCCCTGTGATCAACCATGATTTGGACCTGAATGCAAAAGAGCCTCGGGCAAACATCAAACGTGGATCCGGTAAAAAAGAAATCCTACAAACAGAGACAAGCAATTCCATAGACAGGCTTCACAACAAATGGAACATACTCAACACAAAGGATGAAACTATCCACCCTTAATAACAACAGATGGGACACTAGCAATGAGCTTCGAAGAAAAGAGAGATGCACTGGCAAGACATTTCTCAAGTAAAATGACAGATCCTTATCCTGAGCAAAAACCACCCAGACTTCCTATCTTGAGTAATTAGAAACTAAGCAGGATTACAACAAGCGATAGAGAAGTGAAGCAGCTCCTGCGCAATGTAGACACGAGGAAAGCTACAGGACCTGACGGCGTTAACCCTCGGCTGCTCCAGAGGTACGCAAAGGAGCCGCCATCTCCTCTTACTTTAATGTTTAACACAAGCTCCTGCTCCTGCAAATGACCTGCACTTTGGAAACAAAGTAATGTTGTCCCCATCTTTAAAAAGGGGGACAAATCTAATCCAAAAACTACCGGCCAGCTTCTTTGCCGTCAATCATCAACAAGATATTTGAAAAAATAATATCTTCCCACTTAACAAACCACTTCAACAAAAACCATCTTCTGTCTACCCGACAATATGGCTTTCGGAAAAACCGCTCTGCTACCGACCTGCTGTTACAGGTGACTGCAGACTGGTCAGCTGAACTTGACCGCGGTCAGCGAACTTGTGTTCTTGTCCTGGACATAGAGGGAGCCTTTGATAGGATATGGAACCTAGGTTTGTTATGCAAGTTCAAAGAATTCGGAGTGGATGGTGAGCTCCTGGTCCTTTTGAAAAAATATCTACTCGGCAGACAAATGAGAGTAGTTCTCAGTGGAAAACACTGCTTACTACATCTAAGCAGATGTCCCTCAAATAAGCATACTGGACCCTCTGCTGTAGAATGTCTTACTCAATGACTTGCTCCACCTCATTCCTGAAGCCAAAGCATATGCGGATGATGGAACACTCTCCTTTAGGCATGAGCCAAAGGAACAGGATGTCGCCATAGAAAAAATAAATGACAGCCTCGCACAGATCTCGACTTGGGGGGAAAAATAGCAGGCCTCCTTTGCCCCAGCTTATGGTTGTTGAGAGGACGAACAGTGATGTCCAAGTAAACTTTAATGAAAATAAAATAAGACCAAAAGACGGAAAAGGACTGCTAAACGGTGAGCAAACATCACTAGCCTCAGAATACAGAATACAAGAACGACGAAAATCATCGAAGCCAGGACCCAACAGTACTGAATCTCGAAAGCCTTCAACACAGGAGAGTCACAACTGACTTGACGACGAGATGTTCCGCATCTATCGCCAACACATCCCGCACCTGCAGCTAATGAGACTACCAGGAAGACGAGCTGCACGCCCCACGAGAACAGTGAAACGAGCGCCAACTGCACTGGAGGAACCTCGCTGTTGCACGGCGCACCACCAGCTACATTTTCTCTCCAGGCATCCCAAATTATGGAATCTATTCATTTCCATCATCGATGTGGAAGCTCACTCCTTAAATATTTCAAATGCAAAGCACATGTGGGGTTAAAGACCACTAATAGATAATTATATGATTTGTATATTGTGTGTTATTGTGCCTGAGTACGTGGCGCAATGAGATGAGGTTAGACTTTAATATAGTAAAAATGAATTCCTTTAGTCTGTAAAAAAATGTTTTGACTGTAACACGTCTAATAATTATAACCAAATATGATGTAATTGTTTTTTAATAAAGTAGAGAAGAGAGAGAGAGAGAGAGAGAGAGAGAGAGAGAGAGAGAGAGAGAAGAGAGAGAGAGAAGAGAGAGAGAAGAGAGAGAGAGAAGAGAGAGAGAAGAAAGAGAGAGAAGAAAGACAGAGAAGAGAGAGAGAGAAGAGAGAGAGAGAAGAGAGAGAGAGAAGAGAGAGAGAGAAGAGAGAGAGAAGAGAGAGAGAGAAGAGAGAGAGAGAAGAGAGAGAGAGAAGAGAGAGAGAGAAGAGAGAGAGAGAAGAGAGAGAGAGAAGAGAGAGAGAGAAGAGAGAGAGAGAAGAGAGAGAGAGAAGAGAGAGAGAGAAGAGAGAGAGAGAAGAGAGAGAGAAAAGAGAGAGAGAGAAGAGAGAGAGAGAGAGAGAGAGAGAGAGAGAGAGAGAGAGAGAGAGAGAGAGAGAGAGAGAGAGAAGAGAGAGAGAAGAGAGAGAGAGAAGAGAGAGAGAGAAGAGAGAGAGAGAGAGAGAGAGAGAGAGAGAGAGAGAGAGAGAGAGAGAGAGAGAGAGAGAGAGAGAGAGAGAGAGAGAGAGAGAGAGAGAGAGAGAGAGAGAGAGAGAGAGAGAGAGAGAGAGAGAGAAGAGAGAGAGAGAGAGAGAGAGAGAGAGAGAGAGAGAGAGAGAGAGAGAGAGAGAGAGAGAGAGAGAGAGAGAGAGAGAGAGAGAGAGAGAAGAGAGAGAGAAAGAGAGAGAGAGAAGAGAGAGAGAGAAGAGAGAGAGAGAAGAGAGAGAGAGAAGAGAGAGAGAGAAGAGAGAGAGAGAAGAGAGAGAGAGAAGAGAGAGAGAGAAGAGAGAGAGAAGAAGAGAGAGAGAAGAGAGAGAAAAGAAGAGAGAGAGAGAAGAGAGAGAGAGAAGAGAGAGAGAGAAGAGAGAGAGAGAAGAGAGAGAGAGAAGAGAGAGAGAGAAGAGAGAGAGAGAAGAGAGAGAGAGAAGAGAGAGAGAGAAGAGAGAGAGAGAAGAGAGAGAGAGAAGAGAGAGAGAGAAGAGAGAGAGAGAAGAGAGAGAGAGAAGAGAGAGAGAGAAGAGAGAGAGAGAAGAGAGAGAGAGAAGAGAGAGAGAGAAGAGAGAGAGAGAAGAGAGAGAGAGAAGAGAGAGAGAGAAGAGAGAGAGAGAAGAGAGAGAGAGAAGAGAGAGAGAAGAGAGAGAGAAGAGAGAGAGAAGAGAGAGAGAAAAGAGAGAGAAAAGAGAGAGAAAAGAGAGAGAAAAGAGAGAGAAAAGAGAGAGAAAAGAGAGAGAAAAGAGAGAAAAAAGAAGAAAGAAGAAAAAAGAAAAGCAAGAAAAAAGAAGAGAGTAAAGAAAGAAAAAAGAAGAGAGAAAAGCAAGAAAAAAGAAAAAAGAAGAAAAAAGAAAAGCAAGAAAAAAGGAGAAAAGAGAGAGAGAGAGAGAGAGAGAGAGAGAGAGAGAGAGAGAGAGAGAGAGAGAGAGAGAGAAAAGAGAAAAAAAGAAAGAAAAATGAAAGAAAAAAGGAAAGAGAAAAGAAAGAAAAAAGAAAAAAGAAAATAGAAAAAGAAAAAGAAAAGCAAGAAAAAAGAAGAGAGAAAAGAAAGAAAGAGAAAAAGAAAGAAAGGAAAAGGAAAAAAAAGAAAGAAAGAAAAAGAAAATGTAAAAAAAAAGAGAAAAGAAAGAAAGAGAAAAGAAAGAAAGAGAAAAGAAAGAAAGAGAAAATAAATAGAGAGAGAAAAGAAAGAAAGAGGGAAAAGAAAGAAAAAAAAGAAAAGAGAAGAAAGAGAGAAAGCAAGAAAGAGAAAAAAATAACGAAAAGAGAGAGAAATAAAATAAAATAAAATAAAAAGAGAGAGAGAAAAGAAAAAGAGAGAGAGAAAAAAGAA